AAACTGTTCTCATTGTTATTACCCTTTCGACAGCATCAAGCAACTGGTTCGCAACCACCCTTGTTGTGGAAAATCGATATCTAAGTGCTAGTTGACTCAAATAACGACCCTGTTGCTCTGTGGTCTGTCTTTGATGTTCAGTACCTCTAAATAGTCGATTTTGACATTCTTGGAACAACGCTCGACAACATCTCATTACAGTAGCTTCTTTTCGATTCACCCGATTAGCGATTTCTCTAAAAGAAAATCCGGCTTCACGTAACCCGATTTTCCGATCCCTTTCAAACTCGGAAAGTTGAGTGAAATTAGCGCGTTTGCGATCTCTAGGCATGATAATGCAATGAAACAACAATGAGACAAATGGAACCAACACAGAAAAATCACTGAGTACCTAGTAAACATGTTCATATTGCTTCAAATATAGCAAATATGTTTACAAGTTTCCATCAAAATTCAATAAATAATCCTGGGTGTTGCATTTTATGTCACTCAGTATACACTTGAAAACTTCCTACCACGAATTTATCGAAAACCACTGATTAAAGGAAGAAAGCCGAGACATCTCGAAAGATTTGTCAAGGAGGTCAACTTCTTAACCAAAAACTGCTCAACCCCCTTTCACCCTCGACCCCCTAGGGTCATTCCCTTAAAAATCTTAAATGGCAAGGGATATCGAGTAATAGCTTATTTGGAAGGTCTTTCGAAGTCCTTTATTTTGAAGGTTGATTTTTTTAAAATCAGTCGTTTCGTTTTCGAGAAAATGAGAAAAATCTTTATTTATCTTAATTTGTTCAGATAGAAAACAGAAACACACAAAAATATCTCCTTTCATTTCAATAACAATAAATAACCACCCTATTTTTTCCACATTTTTTTCATGGACACAGATATAATGGGCGAACTGTATTATTACTGTTATACCTGTTTAGTTATTTGTTGCTAAGGGAAAGAAATAATTAAATTTGCTGTCAGTTTCCTTTGTGACAATCTTGGGATAGTGAAAATAAATTAATTGATTCCGATTTTACTTCCAAAAAGGTTTACACACTAGCCGAAAGAGTGGAAATTATTTTAATTTACAGTGCCCAAAATCTGCCGTCACGTTTAACGCCAGACATCCGGGGAAGATAACTTCGCATAGGTATGTTTTGGAACTTGTTGATAATTTTACCCAAACTGGATCTGTCAGAAATAAAAAACGTGATCATCGGAGAGTTTTGGATGAAGCCGCTCAAGTTGAACTTTTGGGTCAATTTGAAATAGATCCTAATACTTTATTACGCAAAATTGTTATTGCAACTGGTGTTTCGTTAGGCTTTGTACACACAGTTACTAAACTCCATAAATTTCATCCATTCAAAATGAAAATATGTATTGCAAGTGTTGACCAAAGATGATTTCGATAGACGAGTTGAGTTTTGTGAACAAATGACTAGAGCGATTAATGATAATTCCATTCATGTAAAGAATATCTGCCTCAGTGATGGATGCACATTTTATCTAAATGGATTTGTTAATAAGCATAACTGCAGGTATTGGAGCGATGAAACTCCTCATGCTTTTGTAAAAGGGCATACCTAGTAACCCAAAAAAGATAATGTATAGGCAGGCGTTTCAGGAAACAAAGTGATTAGGCAATTGTCTATTAATGGAAATTTGAATGGAGATATTTATTTGGATATGTTAGAAAATACCATGAATCCGCTTATCACTGAAACCATTGAAAACCAAATCGTTAAGGATGGAAACCCTATACTTGATGAGATTGAAATATATTTCCAGCAAGACGGCGCTCCTTCTCACTATACTCTTCCGGTTCGGCAATGGCTAGACGTCGAATTTCCAGATAAATATAGGGCCTATAGAATGGCCTGCTAGACCTCCTGATTTGTCGTCATAAGACTTTTTTGTATGGGGCCATTTGAAATCTATTGTGTTTACTCCCCAACCTGAAAGTTTGGATGAACTCCGTCAACGCATCATCGAAAGCTGCCATGAATCCCGCAACATGTATTTTAAAATGTCCGTTAGGAATTTGAACATCACCTATATTATTATTTGGCTAATAACGGGCTACATTTTGAGCACTTATTGGAATAAAAAGTGGTGTTTTCGTGTGTTTTTGTTTCCTATCTGAACAAATTAAGATAAACGAAGATTATTCTAATTTTCGTGAAAACGAATCGACCGATTTTAAAAAATCAAACGTCAAAATAAGGGACTTCAAAAGACCTTCCAAACAAGCTATTACTCTATACTCCTTGACATTCAAAATTTTTGAAGGGCAGAGGGTGAATGGGGGTGAAGTAATTTTCGGTTAAAAAGGTGTCCCCCTTGACAAATCTTTTAACGTGTCTAGCCGTGTCGTCTTTTTATCAGTGGTTTTCAATAAATCATTGTGGGAAATTTTTAAATGAACCTGTATCTTATGTAACCTCTAATAGAAAAAATTTTGCGCTTCAATGATAGGTGCGCATTTTTTATATATCCTCTGAAATCACAAATTGAAGGCCTGAAGCAATTTTTGGCGGGTCGAGTTTTTATTTTGAAAATCCTGAGCGCACCTCAAGCAGACCAGGATGTGTTAGAATGATACGAATTAATTATATATATTAACTTCTTTTTTGAGCTTTATCCAGGAAATTTTTTTTTAATCATCAATCATTTAATATTCGACACACCCTGTATAACATAAGTGATATGTAAATATTTTTTAATATGTTGCAAGGTCAGTGCTTCCCATAAATGTTTACTTTGAACGGTCGATTGCCTACACATAATACGAGATGTATCCGAAAAGCATCCGAACTGCGTTCATATCTCCGCATTGGTGCTGATCTTTGTCATCCGAGCCTTGGCACCCTTCGAAGTAGTCCTCATTTGATCGAACCGCATGCTCTTATCAGTACTCCCACATCTTAAAGCAGTCTGCGAATGCCGAATCGCCTCGATGTCCTCGAACCGCTTTCCTTTGAGAACCATCTTTAATTTTGGGAACGTCCAAAAGTCGGAGGGAGCTATGTTGATAAATGCGATCGTTTTCTTCTCACGGCATCGCGCAATCTTTTCAGAACTTCAACGAAATCTTCTTTGCTGATCGTCTGACAACATGGAACAAGTTCGTACTACACAACATCCTCACAATCGAAAACAATAATCAGCACTGACTTGACATTGCTTTGACCTTGACGTGCTTTTTTCGGTCGTCTGGACGGTTCCGGTGTGAAGATTGTTGCTTAGTTTTAGGATCGTGACGATAAACCCATGCTTCATCGCCAGTATTAACCCTTTCATAATCATTGACCATTTCCTAAGTGATTTCAGAGGTCATGAGCAATTTTGGAATAAATTTCGCACACTCGCGAAACATTCCCAAAATATTATTCAAAATTTCCCAAACGATGTTTTGCGGTGTTTTTGTGTTGTTGCCGAGGTCGGCTAGAACTAGGAACAAATGAAATCTGATAATTGCAAGACCTACCTAGGTAATTCTATTTCTCTGAAATAACTAAGGCTTAGCAATAAATCTATGATATATTATACATTTTTGAAATCAGAATTAAAAACTCTATCTGTGCCAAAATCCAATATGGCGTCCATAAGACAAAATAAAGTTGATGCTGACGAGAGGCGAAACGTCATATTGGAATTCTAATTATGCTATCTTGTAGAGAGAAACTGACATGTCAATGTGTTAGTTATTTTAACATGCAAGTACTATTAAGGTCTGGAAAAAATTAAAACGATTTTGGGAAAATTTGTTTTTTCCCATCTCTCTCCGGGAGTACTTTGAATTTAGAGAATTTTGTGAGCGGCATTTTGTTGATTACCTAATTGGGTAACTTTGCTTCCATTTAAGCGCTGGGGACGGTCGAATTAGAAACATCTTGTATTTATGCGTAATATGTGTATATATAATATCATATAGTACATAAGTACGTATCAAGAGCTATATAATCAAACATTGTTGACAAAGAGGTTCACACCAAAGCTCCAAAGAAATGACACTACCGTGTACGGACACGCCCATTGCCCCAAACTGAGGTATAGCTTTTTCATGAAAAGCCCAGATAGTACAGGGTTTGTCCGGAAAGTAATAGGACTTATTTTCTTCCGCCATGACTGTACTTCGGAGCGTGCGCGCTCCGACTGGTTTCGGCAGAGGGCATGCCTAGCTAACGAATAAGCGGCTGGTCAGTTGTCTCCTAGCACTTGGAGACTCAGTACAGGCATTTTCGCGCGACATTTTTCTGTGAGTGGTGCAAGCCGAAAATGCAGCGTTCGTTAGAGCAGAGGTACGCGATTAAATTCTCCGTGAAACTCGGTAAATCTGCGACAGAGACGTTTGGTATGATCAAGCAGGCTTACCCAGGTGTTGCTTTAGCAAGAGGTGGTGTGTTTCGGTGTCACCAGGCCTTTTTGGAGGGCCAGGAAGAGGTCGCTGATGAAGACCGTGCTGGAAGACCTTCGACTTCGACAATCACCGATAATGTGACTCATGTGCGCAAAGCTTTGAACTCAGACCGTCGACTAAGAATTCGTTTAATTGCCCAGATGTTAAATTTACCAAAATCTGGGTCCGACAAGACATCGCAGCCGACTGGAAGTTGCACCCCGACAACGCCCCGGCTCACACCGCCTTTCTTGTGAACAGGTACCTGACCAAGGCCGGCATCCCAACGCTTCCGCAGCCGTCCTACAGCCCAGATGTGCCCCCCCCGGGACTTTTTTTGTTTCCTCGCCTAAAAAGGCCGATGAAAGGCAAGCATTTTGAGACGACAGAGGGGATCCAAGCAGCATGCACCGCTGGCAGCGCTGCATCGCCGCAGAAGGAACCTATTTTGAAAGTTTCTAAAGAATTGTAACGATTGGCTCAATAAATTTTCTTAAATCGACTCAGTCCTATTACTTTCCGGACAAACCCTGTATATCAACGGTTCTGGTAATACCTAAATATTTCTGATGTTATGACAAATTGTACAATAAGTTGTAGCAGAAGGCAGCATTTTTTATTTTGTGCGCCTGTGTTATGTTCAAAATGAGGTTTGATTTACTCGGATATTTATTGTAGCATCTTGCTAATAATACAATCACTGCATCTATGCAATTACGGGTTTTGCAAGCATGATCAGTGCGACAAGGTTGTAGGCAATGATACTCCAACTAAATCTTGTTTGTAAGGAGGCCACCCCGGCGTCAGCTCTTATCTCCCCAGCATACTGGCGCATGAAGTTGATCTTCTTGTCCACGTTGACCACTGCGAACGGGAATCCGTTGAAGGGTTTCGGATTGTTCATATTTGCTTTGGCACAACCACCACCTGCACATAGCCTATCATCCATTCCTTTCAGCAACCTGCAATGTTACCATATAGCGATCGAGTAGAAGATCAGGAATTTGGTCTGTGATATAAAATAATGTAGCGCATGATGCTGCGTTCCATTCTGAAAACAGCTCAGCTTTTGCTAAGCTTCAAGATTTCTTGGGCCTTGTACAGTTGAGAAGCCCAATTAACAAATATCACTCTTATTAGGGTTGCAAGAAAACTAGTACGTTGCGTACAAACGGAATGGGCACTCCTAATAGGACACTTCAGTCATTTAATAGGTTGTATAAGGGCTGCAGATAATAATTATTATTTATTATAATAAATGTGCAAACGCTCTTGCAGCTACTAAGGGACCTTTGCGTCAGCGCAAGGCTGAATTTTTGTCAACCATTCTGTTACACGATTCTACTTTATTGCAACCAACTATTTCCTTACGTATTATACAGATGAAGTGAAGAATATTTTTAAATTAACACATTATACACTCATCTTATTTACTGACAAATCCTACAATTGGACTTAACAACATCGCGCAACATCAAGCCAGCATTTGATTTTCAAGCAACAGCAAAAGATAGCTTTTACCGCTTAGCTGTAGTTCCTGTAGTTGACAAGATGTGTCCATGCTAGGTCCTCTAATGGTCAAAGTACAGTGCCGTGTTTTGGAAGCATTAGACTGTATCATAATGATGCGTCCCCAAGCAGTGATAACCTCCAGGTCTCTTGACAGTCGTCTTCCCTCCAGCTAACCGAGAGAGACCGGATTGTCACCGTGAATTCCTGCATGCAGAGTACTCTCATCAGCGAAGCTGTGGATCGGATTTGTCATACAGGAAAGGAGGTCGTTAATATGTAAAAGGAACAATGTCGGGGTTAAAATCGATCCCAGGAGAACACCTGAGTTGACATTCTGGGATGAAGAGAAGAGCCCGTCAATCACGACGGATACCTTGCGGCCCTGCTCATCTCTCTCACCTTAGTTATAACAGAAAACAGAGTTATGGACATGTAGTTGTAAGGCTCGGTATTAGATCCTTTTTTTGAGATGGGCTTGACATGAGCAAATTTACAGTTTTCTGGGAAGATGCCGGATTCGCGAGATATCTGGAAGAGATGTTAAAGAATTGGAGCCATCTCAGCTGCACATCTTCTCAGTACAACGGCAGGAATCAAGTCCGAACCAGCAGCATTGCTGATATTGAGCGACACGGGCACCCGTCTTACGTTCTTACGCATCAACGTTACTTCCCGCATAGTGTAGGAAACAAGTTGAATCGATGACACTCGGGCAATGCTGGGAACGTCCATGGTGGAGTTGGCAGCAAAGATATTGGCAAACACTTCCTCGTTAGCTTTTAAGTCGATTACAATCGTTTCACCCAGGTACGTGAGCGGTGGAAGGCTATTTTTGGAGAAATTCCCTTCATTCTGCTGGTCCAGCGCCTAAAAACACCGACTGCCATTGCTGAATTATCCAGTGTCTAATTTTTTCATGGTGGTATTTGGCATTGCCAACAGCTTCGTTATATTTTTTTCTGGACTGAATATCGGCTTGTCTGCTATCTACAGTGAGGTTGCGTAAGAAGGTTCTGTGTATCTTGATGCAGTCTCTCTCGATTTGTTGAACCAGACGCTGAACCCTGGCTTAGGTACTTTCAATGTATGAGGGATTTATTCCTCAATGTCCATGTCAATAGTTGGTGAAAAGTAAGCTGCGATTCTGTTATGTCGCCACAGTGCTGCAAACCTTACATACATAGTTATAATTAATATCGATCCGTACCGCCGCGATTACTGTTAGCCAGCCAATATTCAACAACCTTCATCATTATTTGTCAAGCGAAATATGCTAACACCATTGGCTAACAATGTTCTGCAACGATAAAGACCAAGGATGGCAGCTATATACAGCGTGTGCCTTAACGATGTGCGAATATTTAAGGGTGTGAATGTACATGAAAAATGTTAGTTTGCTTTATAAGCTATCGTCCACAAAAGTTACTTTACAAAAAAACTCGTGGCGTTGAAGTTTTAGGAAAAAAATGGAAATTAATTAAACTTTTCAGAACCGCATCAGATATTTCACTGATATTTAGTAGGTAAAGAAAGTTTATAAGGTTGCATCTTTTTCAGTGCAAAAATAATTTTTAGCTTTAACAGTGGCCTGCGTACGGGTATTGACTTCGATATCTTTTAAGACAAAAATGGTACGCCAATGGTTTTTTGCAAAATAAAAATCATTTTTGATTCCCCGTTCAATTTAAAACAAATGATTTCTCATAAATTGTTTTCCTTCGATGCGCGATTTTTGAGTAAAAAAATAGAAACCGTTCTATTGTCCGAGAAAATTAATGTAATAATTGAAGAATGCAACTTAGTCTAGTTGCTCTGGAATATAATATATATATATATATATATATATATAATATAATTTTGACATCTTACAAGTCTCTGTTATTCAAATCTGTTCGCTGTGACATCTTTTTCATTATTTAGTTTTTACAATCTTGTTAATAATGTTGAATTGTTCAAATGCAGAAATAGCGGAAATGCATTACGTATATGGCCTTGCCGACGATAATGGTGAGCAAGCCAGACGGATTTATCACCAGAAATATCTCGATCGTGCTTTGCCAGAGAGTCGAACCTTTTCTAATATTCATCGTCGTCTTGTTGAATATTCGCATATCATCAAGTAACCCTGTATTCCTTACGTTCGATACATCATGTATCTCTGTATTGACAACAGCAGAGGCCAGGCCGCGACAAGTATATTTTTTGCCTTTTGTGTTAAGCGTCTAACAGGTGCATAGACTTACCTTACCGCTCTAGTTTTTGCCCATCAAAAAAATCCATAAACGACCAGAAAGAAGCCCTAAATGCCGAAATACGAGGATTGATCGAGTTTAGATTTTTTCTTTTTTGCCTGTAGCTCCACTGAGACTGGGTCAATTAACCAAAATTTCATCAAAATTCAAGTAGTACTTTACAAACAACCAGATATCTCACTTATGAAATTAATCCGCAATTACAATGCATCCTCGCCAATAATTAGCGTGGGAACTAAAATTGATACAATTTATTCGAAGGAAATTCTATCTTAAGTGTAGGTACTTTCAGAAGGCCTGGTTTCGGCTAAATACAATTTTGATCAAAAAAGGAATCTATTTCTTTTTTCATGTCCATAAAATATCTAAAAGATTTAACCATAAACAGCACTCTTAGAAACCTCCTTCTGGCTAGAATGAAAGTCAGTTCTAGGTGAAATTTAGTAGTCAGGTATCTGCCTATAGGCTTTTGGAGTCCAAATCTGAGGTGAGTTTGTTCTTCTCATTGAAAGGAAGCCTCGGGGTCATCTCAAGGGAAAATTAAGAAAATGCCGAGAAATCAAATCTACTAGACCTGGTCACAGATCTGTTTGTCCGTATGAGTCATGATGGGCGTTTCGCGGTCAGTTCGAGGTCATTTCAAAAGAATCTGGTAGACTTTCTTTATTCGCGTTTTCTTCAACTTGACCTTGAAACGATCTGAAACTAATCTTCACCGTGGAATGGAGGAGGTTCCTGTAAGCTCCGTTTGTGGTTAAATCGCTTAGTTATTTCATATACATGTATATCTGTATTGACAACAGCAGAGGCCAGGCTGCGACAAGTATATTTTTTGCCTTTTGTGTTAAGCGTCTAACAGGTGTATAGACTTACCTTACCGCTCTAGTTTTTGCCCATCAAAAAAATCCATAAACGACCAGAAAGAAGCCCTAAATGCCGAAATACGAGGATTGATCGAGTTTAGATTTTTTCCTTTTTGCCTGTAGCTCCACTGAGACTGGGTCAATTAACCAAAATTTCATCAAAATTCAAGTGGTACTTTACAAACAACCAGATATCTCACTTATGAAATTAATCCGCAATTACAATGCATCATCGCCAATAATTAGCGTGGGAACTAAAATTGATACAATTTATTCGAAGGAAATTCTATCTTAAGTGTAGGTACTTTCAGAAGGCCTGGTTTCGGCTAAATACAATTTTGATCAAAAAAGGAATCTATTTCTTCTTTCATGTCCATAAAATATCTAAAAGATTTAATCATAAACAGCACTCTTAGAAACCTCCTTCTGGCTAGAATGAAAGTCAGTTCTAGGTGAAATTTAGTAGTCAGTTATCTGGCTTTTGGAGTCCAAATCTGAGGTGAGTTTGTTCTTCTCATTGAAAGGAAGCCTCGGGGTCATCTCAAGGGAAAATTAAGAAAATGCCAAGAAATCAAATCTACTAGACCTGGTCACAGACCTGTTTGTCCGTATGAGTCATTTGATGGGCGTTTCGCGGTCAGTTCGAGGTCATTTCAAAAGAATCTGGTAGACTTTCTTTATTCGCGTTTTCTTCAACTTGACCTTGAAACGATCTGAAACTGATCTTCACCGTGGAATGGAGGAGGTTCCTGTAAGCTCCGTTTGTGGTTAAATCGCTTAGTTATTTCATATACATTAAGAAAAAGGGTCCGGAAACACCAGCCTTATGAGCTCTCCTTTTCTACCTAACGCGGAGACAGTATTGAGGACGCTTCAGTCCTGTTATCTGTCATAGTCAAAGGTAACATTGACATTGAACAGCTGCTATAGGGCATTTGCTGTGGAGGACATCAAATTGCAGTACCAAGAGACTTTCACATAGTTTTATTCGGCGTCAGAGTACATGTAACATTTTTTACTAGAGAAAGTTTCAAAATAAAAACCAATTTTTTTCAATATCTCCAAAACCGTCAACTGGAATGAACTAAAATTTGGTATATGGATTTACCTAAGCATTGTCCATATTCAAAAGTCCCTAATTAAAATTAGCGTGCATCAGTGACGGAGATACAGGGGATTAGTGGAATTATTTTTCCAAATAAACTAGTATGCAACTGTTTTTTTGTGAAAACGCGCACTTTTTAGAATTTTACCTTCAATTTGCTACTAATACTTACTCTAAGTCTTTATCCTAGAGTGCACTGTTTTCTTAAAAATGAAAATAAAACAAATTAGATGTCAAAAGTTTTTTCCATTTCTGAGTGTCGTGAAATGAAATTTAGCAATGATATTATTTTTGTGTATGGGTTCGGTAATGGAAATGCTTTAGCGGCTTCTCGGGAGTATCAACGTAGATTTCCTAAAAGACGCCCACCTACCCCAAAAGCCCAAAGGTCTTTATGCGTTCATTTCTAAGACTTCGACAATATGGAATTACCAAACTTCCCGGTGCTAGAGGCCACGGTGTCCGGCATACTATTCAAGAGGAACTCGAAGTGATTAATTTGGCGTTGGATCATCCTACTACAAGTACTAGATGAATTGCAGCCCAGTTACCACGTTCCTAAAGTCTTGCGTGGAGAATTTTAAATCGGGAAGATGTGCAATGTCTTCAACCCGGCGACGAAGTGCAACGGTGAAATTTTTGTGAGTGCTTACTGCAAATGCGTAGTCAACATGACGATTTTATTGATTTGGTTTTGTGGTAAGACTAATCGATTTTTACGAGGAGTGGGAGCTTTAATTCTCATAATAAACATATTTGGTCGTCAGAATGTCCCCGTTCTGTAATAATCCAGCTTCAACGCAGATTTTCTAGAACTGTCTGGTGCGGCATTTTCAATCGCCAACTGTTTATGCCAGTATTGCCACTACGTTTAAATGCAAAATCATACTTAGCTTTTCCAGAGCATTAAATCGAAAATGTGTTAGATGATGCTCCGTTAGCAACGAGAGTACGAATGTGGTATCAGCACGACTGTGCCCCACCGCATGCGAGGTCTCATGATTTAAACTCCCTGCATTTTTTTTATGGAGCGCTTTTAAACAACTACTGCATTCTGTAAAAATTAAGACTGTTGATCAGTTACAAGAAAGAATAAGATAATGCATTTCATCAAATTCAAGCAACAACATATTTTGCAGGAATACGTTTTTCTTTATTAATAAGATGCCGCACTTGTATCCGTCAGAATGGTGGTCTTTTTGAACATTTATTGAAATAAACCTTTGTTTATCTAATTTGACTTTCTTTTATTTTTGCGAAAACAATGCACTCTAGGACAAAAACACAAGAATAATTATTTGTAGCAAATCGAAGCAACGATTCGAAAAATTGCGCGTTTTGGAAAATATAGTGGCGTATTATTTTCATTTGGAAAAATGAGTGTGAACAATAAGGTAAATCCACATACCAAATTTTAGTTCATTCCAGTTGACGGTTTTGAAGATATTAGAAAAAATTGATTTTATTTTTATCCCCCTTATCTTTTTAATGAAGTCCTCGAGGAAAAAATGTTACATTGACGACCCCCCTTAAGATACGGTTCTGTGTATGATGTTTCATTTTTGGTCACGGGTTGTGAACCACCGTGTAGATATACAAACCTATGCCTTAGACAAGAAGGACACAAGCGCTTAGCTTTCGATAACTACCTTGGTAAGAACTCATTATTGCAAACCTTTTGCCTACACCTAGCCCAACATTCTTCGACTTCTGCGTCGGCATGCCCCACACCTTGCACAGCATCCCCGAGGCACACCCTCCCCACGAAATCAATCCAATTTGGGCATCTCCACAGAACACCGGTCCTCCAGGCTCTCCAACGCATCCCAGATCTCTAAAATCCAGCAGGACACACATGTCCCTTTCAAACCGCCCTTTTTTGTAGACTTCTGCACATTCGGTTCCAGGGTAGACAGTGGCTGAAGAGCAATATATAGCTCCTGAGGTGGAAGAAGCGTTGGCCTGCATCAGACCCATGACAAAGGCTCCATCTTTGCATGAGTCCCATTCGTAAGCAGGTATGGTTGAGATGCGGAAATGGACATATTTGATAGAATCACTTTCATCGATGTGGGTTTTTAGGTGGACTACTGCGACGTCGTTAACCATGGTTATGCGGTTATAGCTGAAAGAAAGAAGTTTTCCGAGGATTGCCAGGAAATAATGTGTGCTGTTCCCGAGATGAAAAATCTAACTAAACAAGAACTTTGCACACTTTTTCATGAATAGACTCCGTTGCCGAGCTCAAAATACGTTGTTATATTTTTACCGTAAGAGTGCGGAGCCAGAGACTTGATATCTAGCTACCGTAATTGCTTAATGAAGACATCTGGTTGAGCTCATTCTTCTTTTAGCAAATAGGCTACTTGAGTCATATCTAATTATTTGCCTTAGGAAAACGAAATATATCAATTTCAATTTTTAAAAGCGCAAAAGGGATGTTCACTGCGAACCAAATTTGTCTGCCGGCTTGAGTTTAGTGTGTATAGACACATACGTTAGAAAGAGGCAGAGGCCGGCCGGACAGCGAAGCACATCACTGCGGTGCCTAGCAACACTGACGCGACAATCTGATGCGTTGCCAATATGTCGCCCCAGTTCCCTGAATTAAGACGTATGTTGAAAGTATGCGTTAGGTTATTTTCTACGCCCAAATAATGCTTTTATTTTGAGCGTACAGATTTTTGAATTGTGAATTGTCAAATGTGCTTAGGATCCATTCCCGATTGGTCCTAACGGCGCTCCATTTTAGGACGAAATGAAAGGTCAGGATGGTCATAAATTCTGCAACATTGAATCATTCGTTCGCGTGGCAACACTGCGTCTCCTACAATCCAGGGCAGGGTTTCCAGCTCCATGACCATAGATGAGTGATTTTGCTCAGTACCCATCTAGCGCTCATTGCGGAAATTCGTCCTGCTTCGAAATGATCTTCACCTTCATACAAACAGGCAGTGATAATTTGTATTGCATAATGGTATTTGTTATATTTCCATAATAACTGAGGATGTGTTGATTTTATTACCATCGTTGGAAATCAAAGGTAATCCTAAAATAAAACAAATCACATCAAAATTTAAATAAATAATTCAAATCAAAATGAAAACAGAATAATAAATGAAATGTTCGATCAGACCTTCTTCTTGGGTTTGACCGTAACCTAACTTATTGTAGAAGTCTGTGCTAACATTTTCTGGAGGAAGTTATTGCCAACGCCGCAGATTGCACTACCTTGTGCGTCACCGTCGCTTAGGCAATGTGGTGATGACCTTTATTCTTCAGCCGGCTTCTATGTCTTTTCCAACATGTATTGATACACACTTCTGGCGCTTCTTTCTCATACACATTGATTTCAAGCCATCAGACAAATTTGGTTTTCCTTGTATTAGTCCAATTTTTCAATATATACCTTTATTTTTAAGAGTACAGGTTAAAAACAGTATCGGAAATCATGTGGTGTCATACTAATTGTAAACATAGAAACGTCCTCAGTATGTCAGTCGTGGATTAAGTTGTTTTCTTTGAATATTTCTAACAAGCACCTAACCTAAAGTAAGAAGTTACCCTATTCTCGATTAATCGGGAAAACAATCATGGACGTTGGATTCGTAAAAGCAGAAAAATATGACACATTCATCGTTAGTTAATGCCTTCAACCCGGATATCTGTTCTAATGAGCTGAGGATCATCAAGACTTCTATGTAAGTACAGTGCATCTGATATAATGATAGACATAAAAAGAAATAATAAGTGATATACATAATTTTTCTTTTCAGAAGTCATTCAAAACTAAGCTTACGGATCATAACCGCTGAATAATTTGTTCTAATATTGTATACCTTCTTATACATCTGCAAGGAAATCATTTGACATTGTAGACTTGACAGAAACATGGTTAGACTCTTAGTCTCAATTTTTCTCTTGGCTATGGATGTTGTAATTGTCCGTAGGTAGTAGACGGTCTCTGACTGTCGAATGCTGAGGTACCACCCGGCGGTTCTCGTAGGCGGGAGCCAGAATGTGTGCATGTTGCATGCGTGTTCCCTCGCCAGGGTCCGTGTGGCGTTCCCCCTTTCCCATGTATCCCCCTATAGCCCCACGGTACCCAATGGGTGCTTAGGCCTTAGGCCTTCGTGGTAGTTGGGGTATAAAAAAACTCCTGCTTTCCGGCCTTCGCTACTAGTTGATTTGACCCAATATACAAGGTTGGTTCAGCAAGCACTTTCGTAGCAATATAAAGTCTACCTTGCCGATATGAATCACAAACAATACGTATGATTCTTTATTTTTTTACATTCCTTTGACAAAATTTCAGAAGCACTATGTCGGAACATACCGTAAAGCCTTCGAAAACATATATCATAGATGTGTAAATTGTTAACCAAAATAATGAAACAGATCCGAAATTTTGTTTGTAATAATATGATCAAGTTTTCAATACGCGGTCAAGTCGGGTACCTCTTGGAGCCGCATAGGATGCTCATAAAATCAAGTGGGTTAACTCACAGTTTTTATATTTATTAAGTTACTGTGGTTTCTTGCATAGTTTATATTTTTGTATTATGGCAGCAGAAAGA